ATTTGCAGGGTAAAATGAATACCATTGAAGAAATTGACATAGATTACTTGATTACATTGATACAGGAAAGGGAAATTATATGGGACAAGTCAAACGTAGATTTTAAAAATAAAAATTTAAAAACAAAAGCCTGGGAAGACATATCAAAAGTTTTATTTCCTGATTACGAGAATTTCACAGCTGAACGAAAAAATAAAGTTGGTGAGTTCACAGTACAGATATTTATGTTTTTTTTATTTAAGAGGGCTTTCAAGATTTTCTTGCACCGCCAATTCCGCGATCAGTACAAAATTAATATCTCGACAATCTAAAATTTTAAAACTTAGGGAATTTAGATTAGCGTGAGTACTATTTTATTACTTAGCTCAAAACTAACCTAGACTACGCTGAGTAGGTATAAAATATTATTTTTTTACTGATCGCGGAATTGGCGGTGCAAGAAAATCTTGAAAACCCTCATAATACAATTATACCTTATTTAGCTGCCAAGGCAGAGTTCCTCTAGTCATAAAATAGGTCGCATATTGCTGTCTTATGACATTCGGTGCTGTCTGTTCTTCATGTACGGGTTGTATTGGGAGAAATTCATCAACACTTATAGCAAATTTATCTCTTTGTCTAAAACCATCTCGATCAGCGACAAAATTGTGTAATACACAACATGCTTTTATAATGTCAGTAGCGAAGTCATAGGACACGTCTATCGGTCTGTGAAAAATGCGCCATTTGTTAGCCATAATCCCAAAAGCGCATTCGACATATCTTCTGGCTCTGCTTAGACGGTAATTGAAAACCTTTTGTTGTAAGTCGAGATTTTGACCGCCATATGGACGCATAATATGTTTGCTCAGTCCAAAAGCTTCGTCACCCACAAATACATACGGGGTTGGTATATTGCTACCAGAGAGTGGCTGGGGTTGAGGTAGTGGTAAGTTGTTGTTAATCATTAGCTCGTACAGTTTAGAATTTTGTAATATGGTTGAATCGCATTCTTTTCCGTATGCACCGATGTCGACAAATACGAATTTGTAATTTGAATCCACAATAGCTAGCAACACAATCGAAAAAAAGGCTTTATAATTAAAAAAAGTGAGCCACTATTTGCAGGATTACACACGCGGATATGTTTGCCGTCGATGGCACCAACACATTGAGGAAAATTTGCCTTTACATCAAAACCCCTCGCTATTGTTTGGAAACTTTCAGTTGTCAGTTCAGGGATGTTGTCTCGAAGAAGATTGGTCCATATAGCACGACAAACTCTTTGTATTATATATGCAATAGTAGATTTTCCCCGTTTGAATTTGAAATGTAAATCAGTTATTGAATTTCCACTTCCTAGGTATCTGAAAAGAAAATAATTATTATAATATGCATTTATGAGATAGATAGATACCCGAAAAAAAATACTGACATATTCAGACATCGATAGCAAATAACTTTCTCTATGTAACCAATTAATTCTGGAATCGCGAAAAAAATAGCAGCTGTTGCATACATTTTGATTCAGTAGGTATTGCTTTTTGTATGTAACAGCTGTTATATTTTCACGATTCCAGAGTCGGTCACATAGTGTTTGTTAACGATATCTGAATATGTCATTAAATTTTATCGAGAAATTCACTATGTATAAATTATTAAATCATGTTTACTATTGGTTTTGCAGGTAATGATTTAATAAAAAAATGGAGAAGTGTAAAAGATAATTACTTCAGATATTCAAAAAAATTAAAAGAAGCATCAAAATCGGGCTCGGGCGCTACGAAACTGAAGAAGTATCATTTATACAATCAACTCCTTTTTTTGAGAAAAGTGGAACAAAATGCCACCGAATCTAGCTTAGACTCGCCTAGAGAAATCAACAATGAATCTACGTCTACAAATGATGACATTACCACAGACAACACTCCGCGCTATGTTCCAGTCGCGCGCAAAAGGGCAATGCAAATGGATGAGTTTGAAAGAGAAGGACTAAAACTTCTCAAGGAGCCGGAAAATCGCCATATGTCCTTTTTCAGAGCTATATTGCCATCTATTCAAGAATTTTCCGACCGAGAAACTCTCCGTTTCCAAAGTAAAGTTATACAAATTATAGATGAAATGCGGTATGGACAAACATCATCATATGTGAGTGGCCCATCAACGTCTCACCAACCACCATATGGGTATCAAACAGCAAATTTTCAAAGTACATACATTTCTGATTTTAATAATTCAATTACATCTCCAGAAACATCTCAAGCAAGTGAAGAAACTGAATACGATTTTTCTAATTTGTAATTACTGGATGATATCTCTCTTAAATAATGTCTAAATTTAAAATTATGACAATTGCTGATTATTTGTGAGTTGATTACTCTCTTAAATAATGTCTAAATTTAAAATTATGACAATTGCTGATTATTTGTGAGTTGATTACTAATTAAACAAACCAAAAAAACTGTTATATTTTTATTACTTAAATATATTTATATAGTTACCTTAAAGTGATTCCCAGCATTTCTACTGGTTCCACTGGATTCCTCATATTAGTATAGTTTTTTCGTATGTGTGGTTCTAAGGACTTCAATAAACATTCGAAGCTGGATACACTCATTCTAAAAAAATTATAAAACTTCTTTTCGTCTAATAGCAACTCCCGATATTCAAAAAAAAAAAACTGTCCATCACGATTTCTTAATGAAATGAAAGGACTGATCCAGTACCGTCTTGTGATCTTGCGTCGATTTCGGCGGTGACGTAGTAATAGGAGCAATGCTAGACGTCTTTTCCGATCCATGATTTGCTATAGACTGACTGCGAATTTTTTTCAAAATACTTGCCGCAACTGTGCGTCGCCGCTGCGCCGACGGAACGTTGACTGCGTCATAGTAACGCTGCAGCGCCCGTGTGGCCGGCTATGCGTCAAAATATTTGCGTTGCGACGACGCAACGCAACGCAACGCGCCGTGTGGACACGCTCTGAGGGTCCTTCTTATACATTATTATAAAAGTACAATTATGTACAAAAATGTTAATTAATTGTTGATTTGAAATTGTGAAAAATAAAAAAGTTGAGTTAAATTATATATGTTTTATTTACTTAACAAACCCATTATTACAGATAATTATTTGTTAACACAGCCTTTAGACAAACTCAGTCTTATCCTATATATTATTAATTATTTAAACAATCACTAAAATTTCGTTTCCATTAATATTACCATCTTTTTTTTGTTTAAAATCTTAAATTATGAATTGAAGAATTATTAATTATTTTCAATTAGTTTAATAATTTGGTACATAGCAAAGCGTCTTTTACACAATGACACATTGTTAATTTCTCGTCCAATAAATGAACCAAAAGCTTCGTTAGCTATTTCTATGTGTTTTATATTAGTTGTTGTATTAGTTTGAGTGCTGCTGTCGTTTAAGTCTAAATTCGTGTTTGTTGATATGTCACGTGTTTGATAATAATCATTCAAATCTTGAGAATTATTTTCTAAGAGTGCTTCCATTAAATAATTTGTTGAAGTTTGGCTACTATCTAAAATTGAAAAAAAAGTAGGTATAAAACAGGTTTAGGTATAGTATATACCTTGAGGTATAGGCGAGCCATGACTGTGTAGATATACCTACATGCACATATTGCATGACAATGTCCGTGTATACACAATATTGCATATCTATACACATAACACAATCATGGCTTACAGACGTTTATGAGATAAAAATACACCAAATATTACATAAAATGTTTTAAGTTGTTATCAATGAAATGAATACAAATAATAAAATAAGCAGGTTACCTTCTATGCATGATCGCTTTGTAGGTGGGGGGCTCTCAAATTGAGTTGAATATTCGTCATAAGGCTCCGTTTCTGAGACTAATAGCACTAAAAAAACAGGTTGTTACTTATTGTCAACTTTCAATTATATTATTTAAAAATATTATCTATTATTGTAAATAATATTACATAATAAATAGGTACAATGTTGATTAATTTCAGTTTAAATTATTTTAAATAATTTAAAGCTACTAGCTTTAAGCAAACTAGCTCAGTTACAAGTCTCACAAAACAAATTAATAAAACTACTATTCCATTACCCTTACTTAACATCATCTGAAAAAATTTACAAAGAAACTAAGCTAATGAACATAAAACAATTGCACTACTACACCACCTGTACACTCATGCGTAAAATAATAGATAAAACATTTCATACTGCAGAGATATCTTTTGTAAAACAAGGTTCAACACATAGTTATGCTACTCGGCGTGCTAGCCACTTAGAGCTACCCATAACCAGAACCAAGTCTGGACAGAAAACTATAACTTTTGAGGGAGCAAAACTCTATAATAGTTTACCGAAAGAAATAAAAAATTCAAAAACTTTCAATAGCTTTAAGTCTAGGTTATATAAATATATTCTTTGTAACTAATGTCCCTAGTTCTACTGATCAACTGTCATAATTTCTTATATCTTTATATATGTTTCTCATGTAAAAGACTTGTTCGTAATGAGAAATAAAGTTCTTTAAACCGAAATACAAAAATAATTGAATTTATTTCCTTTTATTGTTAGCGTTGCATTAAAAACGAATGGTTTATATCTATAGAAGTTGATACTATATTCGTAGAACTAGGAGACAGCGTTAAATATTCAGAGCGAAATTGCTGTTCAGAAATATTATTAGTACAAAATATAACATTAAAAATAACCACTGTATAAAAAGTTGACAACCACTGCCTAAATTACGAAACAAACTTACCTTTTATTTTATCCTTTGAGTTTTTTGCCATGTTTTTACGTTAAAACACAATGAATAGTCGTCAAACACTTTATACTTTCGATACAAACGTTACGGAGACTAAGCGGGGAATTCACTACCTCCCATATGTCCCATGTCTGCCCGTAAATGCTAGGCAACGGGCATGGGCAAGCCCGTCGGCCCGTGCCCGCCGCCTGCCCGGAGAATCGCATTTTGTCTGCGCGGGCACAGACAAGTCTGAACGTGAATGGTCGCGTCGGGCAGCCCGCCTGCATTTACGCATCAGAGTTCGGACAGAGCGCATGTTTGTTTCGAATATTTTGAATTGTTTAACATGAACGAAAATAAAGAATTTTGGGAATCTTTTATTTCCATTTACAAACGGCATACTTGTTTGTGGAAAGTTAAAAGCAAGGAATATATGAATAGCGACCTAAGAAATGTCGCTTACAGCGAATTAATTGAAAAAGCGAAGGAAATCCATGATAATGTCGATCTGGCGTTCGTTAAAAAGAAGATAGAATCCATGAGGAATTGTTTTCGACGTGAGCTACGAAAGGTGAAGCAATCGCTGAAAACGGGTTCATCAGCAGATTCCGTATATAAACCATTTCTATGGTATTTCGATCTGCTGCTTTTTACATCCGACCAAGAGGAAGCAAGACACGGAACGTCTTCAATAGCTTCACCCCTTTCTACGACCGAAGATAGTGTCGATGATACAATCGTAAATAGGTATTAGTTATTTAGGTATTTCTATAGAACGTAAGAAAATCAAATGCGGGTATCTTTTAAAACAAATTATTAGGTAATAATGACAAATAAGTCAAGTTTAACTAAACACACCATAAAGTGATTACACAGCAGCCACGTGGACCGCGTACGTGAGGAGGTCGCCGTGGGCGACGGGGCCTGCGTACGCGGGGTGGACGTCGTGTGGGTGGGTCACCACAGCTGCCTGTGGTGGACGAGGTGCCTGTGGTGGCTGGCCCCTCAGGGTTACAGCCACCTGCAGTGGCTGGCCCCTCAGGGCTACAGTCACCTGCAGTGGCTGGCCTGTTACCGAGGCAGCGGGGTCGTGGACGGGTCCACCAACGCCCGGGCCCTTACAACCTTAGCGAGTTAGTATTTTTTTCTTTCACTTTTCAGATTTTTAAATAACCTTATTATTATTGAGTATTACAATGAATCGTGTCGAATTTTAGTATCAACCTGCGCCAAATTGAGGATGTGCCTGTTGGCCGTGCTTTGGAGGTTCCCATGCGGCCAAGAAAAAGTCGCATGTGGCAACTGTAAGTAGTTCTACTTGAGTAACTAATAGATATTATTCTGGTTGTATTACTAATTTTAAATTTTTGTGTTACAATATCCATCTAGATCCGAAGCACGGCCATCATCGGTGCAGCTGCTGGCGGAGTTTTATTCCCCAGCACCACCAGCATCACCGTGCGTGTCGGTGCCTTCGCCGTCCATGTAAGTTACTTACGAACTTTCTATTTATCTGTATAAAGATATTTAAGATATAGATACTAAACACTGTTTTGTTTTGTTGTTGTAGGTTTGTAGAAGTCTTAATGGACGAGGAGCTTCCGCAGCGCGCCCTTCCTCCTCCTCGCTCTCGCATCCTCACAGAGGCTGAGATCCTGGAGTTCGTCAACTGTGGTAAGTACCTGCGATTTTAATTTTCAACCGACTTCCTCAAAAAGGAGGAGGTTCTCAATTCGGCTGTATGTTTTTTTATGTTTGTTACCTCAACACAGTCTTAGAACCAATCTATCATTCGTAACAGGCAGTGAAGAGGACGACTCCAGCGAAGGCGAGAAGGACGAGTTCGGCGCAAGGGTTGCGTCGGCGTATTTTGATACGCCCTTGGACGAGGAAGTGCGCGCTGCGGAAGAGGAGGCATGTGACGTGCCTGCGGCAGAGCCCGTCGCTGCAGCGCCGGCCAGCGACGCTACATACCAGCCTATTAGTTATTATGATTTTAAGTGGGAACAATTTCCCTATTCTCAAATTCAGCCTGAATTGAGAAGGGAAAAGTTTTCCCAGATAAATGTTGGTCCGACCACTCTATGTGTCGACCCATATGACATATTCGTTGACATATGGGATAAGCAAATTACAAATAAACATGGACAGACGATACAGCGAAATCCTGTATCAAAGCTCCTGAAGGCAAGGGCCAGCGTTTGATTATCTGCCACGCTGGTACAGCCAAAGTTTTTGTGCCTAATTGCTTGTGGGCCTTCAAATCAGTCAAAACTATAGATTATCACGAAGAGATGAATTTTGAAAATTTTAAGCAATGGTTCATAAAACTTTTGGATAATATTTTCATTTTGGGGAGAAGGAGAAGATTGCTTTTCAGATGTTAAAACAAAAACTGTCAGAATACCCTGTATTAAGAATTTTTGATCCCGCATTAGAAACACAATTGCATACAGATGCATCTCAAGTAGCTTATTCTGCCATTCTTATGCAGAAAGACCCGAATGATTGTAAATTTCATTCTGTCTACTACATGTGTAAAAAGACATCAGAAGCACAAATGAAGTATACTAGCTATGAGTTGGAAGCACTAGCCGTGGTAGAAGCAGTCAAGAAATTCCGCAAATATCTGATTGGAATTCAATTTACAATAGTGACAGATTGTTTAGCTTTTGAGATGACATTTAAGAAAAAAGACTTAATAACCAGAGTAGCAAGATGGGTTCTCTTCCTTCAGGAATATAATTATAAGGTCGAACATAGAGCAGGCTCAAGGATGCGACATGTGGATGCCTTAAGTAGAAACCCATACATTGGAGTAATGATGAATAGCATTCACAGCCAGCTAAGAGAAGCTCAAGACAAAGATGAAGGCTTTAAAGCTATAAAGGATATTTTAAAAGAAAAAACTTAAAAAGATTACTGGATTGAAAATAATATTCTTTACAAAGGAGATCAACGGTTATTAGTAGTACCTAAAGGCATGGAAATTATTGGAAAAGTACACAGTAATGGACATTTTTCTACCAAAAAGATGAAAGAATTAATTAACAAAGATTATTTCATTCCAGATGTTGATAAAAAAATAAATAATTATTTGTTGACTTGCATACCATGCATTCTAGGATCGAGAAAGAGTGGAAAGCAGGAGGGATTTCTTAACACCACAGAGAAGGAATCATTACCACTACAAACTTTACATCTTGATGGCAACCACTGATGGCAACACAAAAACAGTACTATTATATTCTAACTATAGTGGATGGTTATTTCCTGTGGAAACAACAACCAGTAAGGAAACATTGTCAAAAATAAATATTTTACAGCAAATCTTTGGAAATCCAGATAGAATCATTACAGACAAGGGGACTGCATTCACAAGTAATGATTTCAAGAGGTACTGTGAAGATGAGAACATAGAGCTTGTTGAAGTTACTACTGGTGTACCCCGTGGTAATAGACAGGTCGAGCGAATTCATCGTATCATTATACCCGTGTTGACGAAGCTGTGTATACAAGATCCAGGTTTATGGTATCGGCATGTTAGTAGAGTACAGAGAGCATTAAATTCTACATATCAGAGAAGCATAAATACTACACCCTTTAACTTGCTTATTGGAAGGAAAATGAAGAATAAGGAAGATATTGAACTACAAAATTTATTGCAGCAAGAAAGTGCAGAAATATATAATGATGACAGAGAGGAATTAAGAATAAAAGCAAAAGAGCAAATTTTAAAGTTACAACAAGAAAACAAAACCCAGTATAATAAGAAAAGAAAGGAAAGTATGAGATATCAGGAAGGAGATCTCGTGGCCATAAAGAGAACACAGTTTGGACCAGGGCTGAAGTTGAAATCAAAGTATTTGGGACCCTCCTTGTGTTGCATGCTTAATAAGCATGCTGTCAAAAAGTTCGCGTCTGTGACGCCTGCTTATTAAGCAGTCGTCTACCCCTTCCGCGGTGAAATCGACTCATTGAGTCGTATGTCAAAAAGTTCGCCTGGGTGTCATCGCTTCATTGAGTCGGTTGTACCCTAAGCCTTATTTTATCGTTTTTAAATGTCAAAGACTATTCCTATACTATTCATACTTGCACAAAGTATACGGGAGTAAATGAGAAAGGCATATTGCCATAGATTATATTCGTAAATACAATGGATACGGGCGATCGTGTGTAACAAACTTGAGCTCCGGCGACGCCGCGCCGCTATTCATTCTCTTCGTCGACCGCCGAGAAGTTAAGACGTGTTTAATTTAAATCAGTGCATCAAAGTTTATCAAATTAACATCCATCATGAACAGGTAAGTAATTAACAGTTTTTAAATATTACATTATGTATTTGCTAAAGTTTAGGGACAGAAAAAGTGATTTTAATTTCGATAATTTTCTAATCGGTAGCCATTTTTGACGCCACGCCCGCGGACTATCTTTTTAATTCCTTTTATTACTAATAATTAAAAACCTAACGTTAATAACTTGATATATCATGTAGTTTATTAAGAATTGTATTATTGTTATCAAGCATTTAATTTCAAAATTACTTTATAGAATTTATGTATTATAGAAATAAAAAACGAATGGACTCAATGAGTTGGCGTCACTTTACTCGCCCGCTATTTTGTTTAGCCTTAGTATGGATTTATATTCTAGAAATTTAATGTTTATATTTTATTTAATATTTATATTTTAACCGATTGCGAATAAAAGGAGGCTATCAATTATTATATTTAGGGAATTTTTAAATAATTTAATTTAATTTTCTTTCAGACGTTATTTTTAAATTTTTTACATTTTATATTTTAACCGACTTAGAATGAAAGAAGGTTATGTTACGTATTATAATGATGTGGCACGTGTTCTATTTAGATGCATCGGAATCGGTTCAGCCTTTCAGACGTTATTTTTAAATTTTTTACATTTTATATTTTAACCGACTTAGAATGAAAGAAGGTTATGTTACGTATTATAATGATGTGGCACGTGTTCTATTTAGATGCATCGGAATCGGTTCAGCCTTTCAGACGTTATTTTTAAATTTTTTACATTTTATATTTTAACCGACTTAGAATGAAAGAAGGTTATGTTACGTATTATAATGATGTGGCACGTGTTCTATTTAGATGCATCGGAATCGGTTCAGCCTTTCAGACGTTATTTTTAAATTTTTTACATTTTATATTTTAACCGACTTAGAATGAAAGAAGGTTATGTTATGTATTTTATACTTACTTTTAGAAAAAAACACTACTATTTTCTTAATTAAACTTACACGTATACGATATTAATTAATTAGTTTGTTTGCTTAAGTATTCGGGATGGGACAGCTGTATTGAAATAACTGTCTACGTCCAAAAGACTCTTGCAACTAACCTTCTTTCATATTAACAAATAACAAGTTACCTATTTATATTTTATGTGTGCGGAAATGTGTGTGGCAGATGTGCTTGGTCTCAGCGGCCGCTTCGACCCTTAGGTTATTATAGTTTTATATATGCATTGTTACATTGCGCAATGCCTTCTGAAAAGGATATCTAAAACAAAAGAACCTTCCGAGAAGGATATTTAAACAGACTACTTTCTAAAATATGTGAACCATTGGGTTAATAACTCTTCAAATAACATTTTACAAATGGCACGTGTTCTATTTAGATGCATCGGACTCGGTTCAGCCTTCCAGACGTTATTTTTAAATTTTTTACATTTTATATTTTAACCGACTTAGAATGAAAGAAGGTTATGTTACGTATTATAATGATGTGGCACGTGTTCTATTTAGATGCATCGGAATCGGTTCAGCCTTTCAGACGTTATTTTTAAATTTTTTACATTTTATATTTTAACCGACTTAGAATGAAAGAAGGTTATGTTACGTATTATAATGATGTGGCACGTGTTCTATTTAGATGCATCGGAATCGGTTCAGCCTTTCAGACGTTATTTTTAAATTTTTTACATTTTATATTTTAACCGACTTAGAATGAAAGAAGGTTATGTTACGTATTATAATGATGTGACACGTGTTCTATTTAGATGCATCGGAATCGGTTCAGCCTTTCAGACGTTATTTTTAAATTTTTTACATTTTATATTTTAACCGACTTAGAATGAAAGAAGGTTATGTTACGTATTATAATGATGTGGCACGTGTTCTATTTAGATGCATCGGAATCGGTTCAGCCTTTCAGACGTTATTTTTAAATTTTTTACATTTTATATTTTAACCGACTTAGAATGAAAGAAGGTTATGTTACGTATTATAATGATGTGGCACGTGTTCTATTTAGATGCATCGGAATCGGTTCAGCCTTTCAGACGTTATTTTTAAATTTTTTACATTTTATATTTTAACCGAATTTAAGTCTATTTTTTTATACTTTAACCGACTTTTAATAATATCAATTTCGAATAATTTAAATTAATCTTTTCTAGAAACCAGCAGACACGTGGTGGACCGCGTACGCGAGGAGGTCGCCGTGGGCGACGGGGCCTGCGTACGCGGGGTGGACGTGTGGGTGGGTCACCACAGGTGCCTGTGGTGGACGAGGTGCCTGTGGTGGCTGGCCCCTCAGGGTCACAGCCACCTGCAGTGGCTGGCCCCTCAGGGCTACAGTCACTTGCGGTGGCTGGCCCGTCATCGAGGAAGCGGGGTCGTGGACGGGTCCACGCCCAACGCCCGGGCCCTTACCACATCAGCGAGTTAGTATTTTTTTCTTTCACTTTTCAGATTTTTAAATAACATTATTATTGAGTATTACAATGAATCGTGTCGAATTTTAGTATCAACCTGCGCCCGATCGGGGATGTGCCTGTTGGCCGTGCCTTGGAGGTTCCCATGCGGCCAAGAAGAAGTCGCATGTGGCAACCGTAAGTAGTTCTACTTGAGTATCTAATAGATATTATTCTGGTTGTATGACTAATTTTAAATTTTTGTTTTACAATGTCCATCTAGATCCGACGCACGGCCATCGTCGGCGCAGCTGCTGGCGGAATTTTATTCGCCAGCAGCATCCCCAACACCATCATCCCCAGCACCACCATCCCCAGCACCATCATCCCCAGCACCACCAGCATCACCGTGCGTGTCGGTGCCGTCACCGTCCATGTAAGTTGCTTACGAACTTTCTATTTATCTGTATAAAGATATTTAAGATATAGATACTAAACACTGTTTTGTTTTGTTGTTGTAGGTTTGTAGAAGTCGAGGCGCTTCAGAGCGCCCTTCCTCCTCCTCGCTCTCGCATCCTCACAGAGGATGAAATCGCGGAGTTCCTCGACCGTGGTAAGTACCTGCGATTTTAATTTTCAACCGACTTCCTCAAAAAGGAGGTTCTCAATTCGGCTGTATGTTTTTTTTATGTTTGGTTCTAAGACTGAGTTGAGGTAACAATCTATCATTCGTAATAGGCAGTGAAGAGGACTCCAGCGAGGGCGAGGAGAACGAGTTCGGTCCAAGGGTTGCGTCGACCTATTTCGACACGCCCTTGGACTCGGAAGTGCTTTCTGAGCAAGAGCCTGCCACAGAGCCTGCCACAGAGCCTGCCGTCGCTGCAGCGCCGGCCAGCGACGATACTACGATATTTTTACCAAATAGTTTTTATGATTTTAAGTGGGAACAATTTCCTGATTCTCAAGTTCAGCCTGAATTGAGAAGGGAAAAGTTTTCCCAGATAAATGTTGGTCCGACCACTCCATGTGTCGACCCATATGACATATTCGTTGACATATGGGATCGGCAAATTATGGAGCACATTGCCCTGGAAACGAACATTTATGCTCAGGAATCGGCGGCTAGACAATTGCTTGTTGACCAAAATCTTCATCCCAGGAGCCGCATCGGTCGTTGGGTCGACACAACGGTCGACGAGCTCTATGCGTTTTTTGGCATAATACTGGCGATGGGGATAGTGGTCAAATCGAGGTTGGAGGAGTATTGGTCTTACGCCCCTGACATATTTTCAACTCCGGTCTTTAGTGCACTCATGACTATCGACAAGTTTTTGATTTTAAATAGATGTCTACATTTTTCGCGTAATATAGACATGAATGCACTAGAACTGGGCGGCTCCAGGGCAAAACTTTTTAAAATACAGACAATTCTATCACACCTGAACAGTAAATTTCAATCGTTGTATACACCTTCACAGAACATTGCATTAGATGAGTCTTTTGATGTGGAAAGGCTGGCTCGATATGAGTCAGCTTATTCCAAATAAAGCTGCAAACAAAGGCATCAAAACCTATGAGATTTATGAATCTCAAACCGGCCCCTCAGGTTTACAGCCACCTGCAGTGGCTGGCCCCTCAGGGCTACAGTCACCTGCAGTGGCTGGCCCGTTATCGAGGCACATATAATACACGCACACTCGACTCCCACACCTCTCACACACAGACAGTTCCGTATTGATTTATGTAAAGCTCTCCTCTCCAAACACTCGCCTATCCCAGATCCGCCTGCACGTCCGAAACCAAACGTAGATATGACCCATAGGATATCCCAGTATCCTATTACTGGTGGTCACCAGCGCAAGCGACGTCAGTGTGTCGTGTGTAAATCTCTCGCTTCTACGTTTTGTTTCGGATGCAGAGTAACTACATGTATCGAACCCTGTTTCTTTCAATTCTATTCTCAATAATTATTTATGTAAAGTATTTTATTATAATTTATGTAAAGTATATTTATAAATATATATTTCTTTTTATGTATCTATATATTTCTATATATATATGAACAGTTGCTCTTACCATACCTTTCGTTTCATCCACGGTATGCACCCTTTGTTTTCCCCTTTTTTTTACTTTTTATATTAACTTTTTCTTCTTTAACAATTAACTACTTTGTGTTTTTATCAAAACTGTTGTACATACGCTGTACATTACTGATGGTACATACAAACTTTTTATCAAAACTGTTGTACATACGCTGTACATTACTGATGGTACATATATACTTTTTATCAAATGTTTTAAACCGTGTAGCCGGTAAAGAGCAAATCTGTTTTTTCTGTTTCAAACCGCCGTTTAAAACCGTGTAGCACATGCTTACACCTCCACAACTCGGCAAATAGTGCGCGAGAGGCCCGCTCACGCTCACAGCGCCAGTGTTCGTCGGTCGTTTTCATTGCGTGTTATTAATTTGTCGTAATTTCTATCGTATTTTATTACGGTATTTTTTAGAGTTTTATTTCAAGTTATGTACACGGTTTACATTATAACTCATCGAAAAGGTAACTATGACTTTATTTTGTATTATTTAGGATATGTGAATTAATTATTGCGTATAACATGTATGAGGTATATGGTACGAAATAACGTTTTTTACATTTTATATTTTAACCGACTTAGAATGAAAGAAGGTTATGTTACGTATTATAATGATGTGGCACGTGTTCTATTTAGATGCATCGGAATCGGTTCAGCCTTTCAGACGTTATTTTTAAATTTTTTACATTTTATATTTTAACCGAATTTAAGTCTATTTTTTTATACTTTAACCGACTTTTAATAATATCAATTTCGAATAATTTAAATTAATCTTTTCTAGAAACCAGCAGACACGTGGTGGACCGCGTACGCGAGGAGGTCGCCGTGGGCGACGGGGCCTGCGTACGCGGGGTGGACGTGTGGGTGGGTCACCACAGGTGCCTGTGGTGGACGAGGTGCCTGTGGTGGCTGGCCCCTCAGGGTCACAGCCACCTGCAGTGGCTGGCCCCTCAGGGCTACAGTCACTTGCGGTGGCTGGCCCGTCATCGAGGAAGCGGGGTCGTGGACGGGTCCACGCCCAACGCCCGGGCCCTTACCACATCAGCGAGTTAGTATTTTTTTCTTTCACTTTTCAGATTTTTAAATAACATTATTATTGAGTATTACAATGAATCGTGTCGAATTTTAGTATCAACCTGCGCCCGATCGGGGATGTGCCTGTTGGCCGTGCCTTGGAGGTTCCCATGCGGCCAAGAAGAAGTCGCATGTGGCAACCGTAAGTAGTTCTACTTGAGTATCTAATAGATATTATTCTGGTTGTATGACTAATTTTAAATTTTTGTTTTACAATGTCCATCTAGATCCGACGCACGGCCATCGTCGGCGCAGCTGCTGGCGGAATTTTATTCGCCAGCAGCATCCCCAACACCATCATCCCCAGCACCACCATCCCCAGCACCATCATCCCCAGCACCACCAGCATCACCGTGCGTGTCGGTGCCGTCACCGTCCATGTAAGTTGCTTACGAACTTTCTATTTATCTGTATAAAGATATTTAAGATATAGATACTAAACACTGTTTTGTTTTGTTGTTGTAGGTTTGTAGAAGTCGAGGCGCTTCAGAGCGCCCTTCCTCCTCCTCGCTCTCGCATCCTCACAGAGGATGAAATCGCGGAGTTCCTCGACCGTGGTAAGTACCTGCGATTTTAATTTTCAACCGACTTCCTCAAAAAGGAGGTTCTCAATTCGGCTGTATGTTTTTTTTATGTTTGGTTCTAAGACTGAGTTGAGGTAACAATCTATCATTCGTAATAGGCAGTGAAGAGGACTCCAGCGAGGGCGAGGAGAACGAGTTCGGTCCAAGGGTTGCGTCGACCTATTTCGACACGCCCTTGGACTCGGAAGTGCTTTCTGAGCAAGAGCCTGCCACAGAGCCTGCCGTCGCTGCAGCGCCGGCCAGCGACGATACTACGATATTTTTACCAAATAGTTTTTATGATTTTAAGTGGGAACAATTTCCTGATTCTCAAGTTCAGCCTGAATTGAGAAGGGAAAAGTTTTCCCAGATAAATGTTGGTCCGACCACTCCATGTGTCGACCCATATGACATATTCGTTGACATATGGGATCGGCAAATTATGGAGCACATTGCCCTGGAAACGAACATTTATGCTCAGGAATCGGCGGCTAGACAATTGCTTGTTGACCAAAATCTTCATCCCAGGAGCCGCATCGGTCGTTGGGTCGACACAACGGTCGACGAGCTCTATGCGTTTTTTGGCATAATACTGGCGATGGGGATAGTGGTCAAATCGAGGTTGGAGGAGTATTGGTCTTACGCCCCTGACATATTTTCAACTCCGGTCTTTAGTGCACTCATGACTATCGACAAGTTTTTGATTTTAAATAGATGTCTACATTTTTCGCGTAATATAGACATGAATGCACTAGAACTGGGCGGCTCCAGGGCAAAACTTTTTAAAATACAGACAATTCTATCACACCTGAACAGTAAATTTCAATCGTTGTATACACCTTCACAGAACATTGCATTAGATGAGTCTTTTGATGTGGAAAGGCTGGCTCGATATGAGTCAGCTTATTCCAAATAAAGCTGCAAACAAAGGCATCAAAACCTATGAGATTTATGAATCTCAAACCGGCCCCTCAGGTTTACAGCCACCTGCAGTGGCTGGCCCCTCAGGGCTACAGTCACCTGCAGTGGCTGGCCCGTTATCGAGGCACATATAATACACGCACACTCGACTCCCACACCTCTCACACACAGACAGTTCCGTATTGATTTATGTAAAGCTCTCCTCTCCAAACACTCGCCTATCCCAGATCCGCCTGCACGTCCGAAACCAAACGTAGATATGACCCATAGGATATCCCAGTATCCTATTACTGGTGGTCACCAGCGCAAGCGACGTCAGTGTGTCGTGTGTAAATCTCTCGCTTCTACGTTTTGTTTCGGATGCAGAGTAACTACATGTATCGAACCCTGTTTCTTTCAATTCCATTCTCAATAATTATTTATGTAAAGTATTTTATTATAATTTATGTAAAGTATATTTATAAATATATATTTCTTTTTATGTATCTATATATTTCTATATATATATGAACAGTTGCTCTTACCATACCTTTCGTTTCATCCACGGTATGCACCCTTTGTTTTCCCCTTTTTTTTACTTTTTATATTAACTTTTTCTTCTTTAACAATTAACTACTTTGTGTTTTTATCAAAACTGTTGTACATACGCTGTACATTACTGATGGTACATACAAACTTTTTATCAAAACTGTTGTACATACGCTGTACATTACTGATGGTACATATATACTTTTTATCAAATGTTTTAAACCGTGTAGCCGGTAAAGAGCAAATCTGTTTTTTCTGTTTCAAACCGCCGTTTAAAACCGTGTAGCACATGCTTACACCTCCACAACTCGGCAAATAGTGCGCGAGAGGCCCGCTCACGCTCACAGCGCCAGTGTTCGTCGGTCGTTTTCATTGCGTGTTATTAATTTGTCGTAATTTCTATCGTATTTTATTACGGTATTTTTTAGAGTTTTATTTCAAGTTATGTACACGGTTTACATTATAACTCATCGAAAAGGTAACTATGACTTTATTTTGTATTATTTAGGATATGTGAATTAATTATTGCGTATAACATGTATGAGGTATATGGTACGAAATAAGGCCTACTTTTTTAATAGGCTTTATTTGTAACCCTAGGCCTTGTTAGAAATTCTGTTGAATTTTAGCTTTATTGTGTTTTTTACAGATTGATTCCTGTCAGTATGTCTCCTCGAAAACGGGCTAAATGGTCTGATGAAAGCTTGAGAGCGGCAGTTAATGATGTACGTTCTGGACGATTGTCGACATACAAAGCTTCGGCGCAATATGGCGTGCCCAGAAAAACCATTAGAAATCATCTTAAAAGTGGTATTTTACATAAGAGCTTAGGAAGAAACGCTATATTTACGAAAGAGCAAGAAAAAGATTTCGTTTGCCGTATAATAAAATTTTCTGATATAGGAATACCTCTGACTCCAAAAATGATTCGGATTCAAGATTTGCTTTTTGCGAAAAATTCAATATTGACAATAATTTCAACAAAAAAACAGGACTTGCAGGAAAAGGCTGGTTAAGATTATTTTTAAAACGAAATCCCAGCTTAGCAAAACGAAAAGCACAATTCCTAAACCCAGCTCGAGCCCAGAAATTAAATAAGGTTATTGTCGCTCATCATTTTCATGAAGTTCGTAAGCTTTATGATGAGTTAGATCTTCATTACCATCCGGAGAAGATTTATAATATGGACGAGAAGGGCTGCCGGCTAACATTACATCATCAACAAACAGTGATTGCTCAGAAGGGTGCTAAAAAGGTGCACATGCTGGGTTCTGAGCATGGTGAGAACGTTACTCTTGTGGGATGTGTTAATGCTATAGGGAATCCTATACCCCCCATGATACTTTTTAAGGGAAAAAGGAAGAAGCCGGAGTATGATGACGATTTGCCTGTAGGATCAATTGTCCACATGGCACCAAAAGGCAGTATGACAAAAGAATTGTTTATTGTTTTTATCGAACACCTAGCTAAGTATAAAACTCCTGGAAAATGCCTTCTCATTTTTGACGGTGCCAAATGCCATCTAGATTTTCGCATTGCCGAAACAGCTGAAAAACATGACATTGTCCTTTATTGTTTGCCATCCAATACGACACACGAATTACAGCCTCTTGACAAAGCCTGTTACAAACTTTTTGAATCGTACTGGGATCAAGAAGTTCTACAATATATGTACCAAACACAAGCCCAAAAGATCACTAAAACTCGATTTAACGCAATTTTATCTAAAATCTGGGCAAAGAGCATGACCTATGACAATATAACAAGTGGATTCAAAGCAACTGGACTTTATCCATTAAACGTTGATGCAATACCTGAAACTGCTTTTGCTCCTTCCATCTTAACAGAGCGTCGTATCAGTAAGAGTAATTCAAACGACTGCGTTGTACCTTCAGAAGTAATAAATACAAACGTAAGTCCTCAAGTAAATTTAACAGGATCCGATACAAATATTGAAACAGACACTGATTCACGTCAATCCTCGCCCATCCTGAACCTGTATTTGCATAAACTGATCGATGCCGAAAAATCCTTACCATTATCCCCGGCCGCACCTGATCTTCGAGTATTATAATCTTTTTCCCCCATAGAATGCGGTACACGAACTCGAATAATTATTAATAACCAAGATTGTGTCGAAAATCTTCCCGGGCCGAGCGGTTTACAGATTACCCGCCGACTAGTAGAATATAGTGATAGTACAGAACATGAGCAGTGCAGTATAGCGTCTAAAGAAGAAAATAGGTACGCATTTATACGCAGGCCTATCCCCCAGAAACGCTTAACACATTGATAGACAGTAACGTCCACGGGCGTTCAGATAGTAAATAATGATAAGACAGAACGCCTGTAGACATCATAGTTATTACTCGTGTCACGGCAGTACGTCTGAGGGCGTTGTATTGTATTGTATATTGGACTCATTTTCCGCACTTAGACTCGCATTTGGTCCGTTGTACGTTGCGAATCCTGGCTAGTTCAGCCAGCCTAACTCCGTCCAAAAGCGCAAAAGCTTCCTGGGAGCTTCACAGGCTTCGCGGAGCGACCTCACCGGTTCGAGGATTTCATTTCGTTGAGAAGTTACCGCTACGCATTCCAGGACTACGTGAGCGACTGATTCTACAGCGCTAAAACACCCTCTGCAGAGAGGGCTGTCCGTTGCGCCAATGTTAAATAAGTGTTTGTTTAAGGGACAGTGGCCCGTTATTGTCCCTATCATTATTTTGAGATTGGTTCTGTTTAAGTTTAGTAAGCGTTTAGTGAGACGTGGATTGACTGCGGGCAATGCTGATCTAGCTTGCCTGCAGTCTGTCGTTAGCGATCATCTTTTATTTTGAAGCGTCAGCGTTCTTTGGCGGATCCAGTTGCGAACCTGTGAAAAAGGTAGAAGAAGAAGTGGGTCTGAGGGCGTTTGATTTTCAATACTTTTACAAGGAAGAACATGTTGTAGTGTCACCGCAAAAGTAATGCGGCTTTCCTACTTGTCATCGTACATAGTTCTACAACACGTCAAGTTACACACACATTGACAGAATTCCGGTACCCCTCTCCCCGCACAGTACGCTCGTGGGCGTCGTGTTTTCATACATTTCGTCACGTAGTGCGCGTCGGCGGTAGGATTAGTGTCACCTCATACTTTCGCGCGCAAATAACGGTTCGAGTGGTAAGTTATCAACGTATTTTTGTGTTTTTATTTATAGAAACATTCAAATTCAATTCATATAACTTACGTATAAGGTAATTGAGCTTCTAATATTAGTAATTGCTTGTTTTGAATGCAGTTTTTTGGTATTGAAACAATAATGAATTTATCTACAGATGGCGCCTGGAGATCCGTACGAAAGGAAACATAAACGGTTGTTAGAATTGTTCAATGAAGCTGAAACTCCGGAATCTAGTGAAGATCCATATGCTGATGATGGGGAATACGGGTCCGACAAGGACTACTATCCTTCAGGCGACGAATCGTTGAGTTCTGACGATGCTGCTGGACGCCGCCCACAAAAACACGCTAGTAACTCATCTGGTGAGTCTTCTTCGTCTAGTGATTCGGATGATAGTGATAAAACATTTTGCCCTTCCGAGGACGAACGACGGAATGAGAAGTTCAGTTACCCAAAACCTTCATGTTTCGGAGGCGACGTCATCTGGCATTCCTTTACCGTCAAACGATCGGCTTGTAAATCAAGATGATCGCCCCAATTCACCAGATATTTCTGATCAGCCTACTAGCCCAATCAGTCATGCTCCCAGGGCATCTGCTGAGATACCTTCAGTAGAAGAAGGTTGGTCTGACACGGTGACTGATATACCTGATTTTAATTTTGATAACGCTGCTTCTGGTATTCAAGTAAACATAGATAACATAGAAAATGTTATGGACTTTTTTCATCTAGTTTTTCCACGGAATTTCGTTGAATATCTGGTAATATGTACTAATAATTATGGTAAATCTTTGTGCCAAACTAACAAACCACATACAAGATATAGCCGCAAAGCTGTCTTTCGTGAAACCAATTATGAAGAAATGCTGAAATTTCTAGGACTTAGCCTTCTGAAAGGTCATATAAAATGTCCTAAACAAAGAAACCTTTTTACTTTAACCAAAGCAATGTATTATCATCCGATATTTACCTACACTATGTCAGGGCGACGCACAGTGGGACAGAACCGTGCGTACCGTCTCAAAAATAGCTTTTCGTAATGTTCTATATTGAATATTTTGTTAATGCATATGTCTAACTGAATGTTCAATGCATATTATATAGCAGTTGAAATACACTATTTCTCATTTTTTGTATTAGAATAAGGCTTGCAAGTTGACGCTCAAAATTATGTCAATTATGTGGAACTCAATTCCACCAGTTTACATGGTCATATTTGCATTACTTTACCAGCAAATTTGTAAGTGTGATATATGGTTAGAATGGTGATGAAGTACTCTATTTAAAAATAATTTAAGTGAACCATTATGTGAAACCTGGGGAGGTAAAGAATTTTTATTTCATGACCTAATATTCTATCCTTATTAGAAACTTTGCATAGACTTTTGACAGTTACCGGTGTCTGCCCATGTCGTAATTTTGATAGCATCGTATAGAGCAGCTAATGTAAAAGTCAGGGCAAAAAAAATTGAGTGCCTGAATCTGCCCCCTTGAAATAAAACGAAAAATGGCTAATGGGGAGAAAATACAAAATATTCCAAAAATTATTTTAGTTCTGATTAATGAGATTTTTGGATATTTAGATCACTTTTGACCTTTTTTTCTTAAACAATATTATATATTTACTCAATCTTTAGGTAAAGTGGGAGTTTTGGGTAATGTATTAGTATGTAGTATATTTTTTTTATGGTGCGGTCAGATGTGGTTAATGTTTTGTTATCACTGTGTGAATTACATGTTTCTCATATAGTTTATGTATTTCTCTATCGCGGTGAAGGAAAAGGGAGCAAGTGGTATCTAGTTATAGTTGTTAGTGTACATTATCAGTACCTACCTACTACTAACCACCTTCATAGATAGTGGTTAGGAACTTGATAATGACACTAGACAGTAATATTTTTTCGCACGAAATTTCAGTATAAAAGTTATTGATTTACGTTGTCGTTTACCAGTACTTTAGTGTGATTTAACATAATATAGTCTTCACCAACCTCGGTAAAAAAAAGTAGTTAAAAATAAAAACAAAATGAGTGAATTTGTTGTGCTTCGACGAGTATTATGCGAATTTTTTATTGGCCATGGAACAAAATCAGAAGATATTCAAAAATACTTAGAACAACACCACCACTTATCGTCTGAAAAAAGTGAATTAATTGTGAAACGTATTCAAAAAACGCTTATAACAGCGTTTAACGATCGGTGGACCAAATGTAACCGAACTAAAGAACGTTTCTTTAGTAATAATATATCGTGGTTAGACGGTATATTTAAGGTACAATTTGAAGAAGCACCGATGGATATTACACCTACAACATCTGAAGAACGTGGACGTCCACCAAAGTCTTATGAAGATTTATCAGAGAAATCGAAAAAAAGAAAGAATATGGAATTGGTACAAGAATATGGACTCGAGTATATACATAATGCATACGTTCAAGGATTGCGGGCTGAAGGAGAAATCGAAGAAGCTACTGTTGTTTCAATGATGCGCAATTGTGAATGAAATGAAAAAAGGATCATGAAAGAAAAATTATTGCATGAAAGTCGCAATGGAACAGATTTTACGGTGGATGAAGCTTTAAGTATGTTTGCAGATTTAGATCTTTCGAAATCCCAATACGGATTTCTTCGAGCAAGTTTGATTAACAAAAACTTCGACATATTGCCATCATATAATATACTGACGAACGCCAAAAAACTGTGTTATCCTCCACTATCCAGCATTCAAATAACCGATATAAGTGCTAAAGTAAATCTACAAGATTTGCTGGATCACACTTGTGCTCGCATCTTAAAGATTGAAAATGTTTACAACCCAAGAAGAAAATCTCTTAAATTGTTTACCAAGTGGGGATGTGATGGTTCATCGGGGCAAAGCGAATATAAACAAATTTTAACAGATGAGAGTGACTTACTCTCAGATACAAACTTATTTATAGCGTCTTTGGTACCAATAAAGCTGACTGACACAGAAACACATGAGATAATTTGGCAAAATCCGGCTTGTTCTTCTATTCGTTATTGCCGACCAATCCTGATGGAACTTGCAAAAGAAACGCCCGAGAAAACCCGATCAGTGGTTGGTGATATTCGGGGTCAAATTAATAATTTGCAAACATCAAAGATACACAAGGAGACGCAGGTAATTGAAATAAGACACGATCTATTTCTAACTATGGTGGATGGAAAAGTTACACAAGTTCTTACTGACACAAGTTCTGGAGCTGTATGTACAGTGTGTGGGGCTAAGCCAAGTGAAATGAATAATTTGGAGAAGATTGCATCAAAGCCAGATAATATAAATGCTTACGAATACGGTTTGTCTACGTTACACGCGTGGATCAGGTGCATGGAGCTAATTTTACATATTTCATATAACCTTTCATTTCAAAAATGGGCTGCGAGAACTTCGGAAGATAAAAAAAGTAAAGAAGACAAGAAAAAGCTTGAACAAAGTTTGTTTCGAAGCCGGATGGGATTGCACGTTGATAAGCCCCGACAAGGAAGTGGAAACAGTAATGACGGCAATACAGCTCGGCGTTTTTTTGACAACTACTACTGCGCTTCAGAAATTACAGGGGTTGACGAGGAACTTATTAAAAGGTTCTATGTTATTCTGCAAACCATGGCATCTGGTATTGCTGTAAATCCAGAAAAATTTGGTGAATATACTCGTGCAACGGCACAACTGTACGTAACAAAATATATGTGGTATAATATGCCTTCTTCAGTACATAAAATCTTAAAACATGGGGAAAGTATAATAAGACATTTTGCAGTTCTGCCCATTGGTCATTTATCTGAGGATGCCCAAGAATCGCGTAATAAAGATTATAAAAAATTGAGATTGCATCATGCTAGAAAATCCTCTAAGTCCGCAACAAACGAAGATGTATTTCATGGTCTTCTATTTACGTCAGATCCTTATATATCAAGTATCAGAAAACCATCAGTCACTATATCCAAGAAATTGTTAGAGGAAGCTAAGAACCTCTTAGCTATTTAAATCGAAATAATTTCGTACATTATTTGTAAAACATATTTTTGGAGTGGGTTATTATATATTTGTCATTTATTTAAATGTAAGATTCATATGTAATATAAAATAACATAAAATAGGTTTATTAATATCATAAAACTGTAAAATTATAATTCAATAAGTTAACCAAACCATGGTTTAATATTAAAATAATACATTTTTATTTTGTTTTATTTTATATTATATTATTTATTAAACATTTGACAATGATACATTCATTATTGGATTGTATATACTCTGGAGACACTGCATACCAAATTTCAGCGATTTACTTCAATCAACAAAAAAGTTACAGATTTTTGAGACGGTACGCACGGTTCTGTCCCACTGTGCGGCGGCTGGATCTAGCCCTGCTGGAGCCGTGCCCGGGGATTCCGAGACATGGGCTACAGTCGTTCGGAAGGGAAAAGGGAAAGGGAAGGGGAAGAAGTCCTCCCCTGCCGCTGGTGGAGCAAATTCGGCTGGGAAGGTATCGCGGGCTGCTGTAGTTGGCTTAGCCGGGGGTAAGCCAAAAGTGGCCGCTGCCCCGCGCACTGCGGCGATTGTGGTGACACTGAGTCCGGAGGCGGCCGCTAAGGGCGTTACCTATGCCCAGGTGCTGCAGAAGGCTCAGGAGAACGTGGACCTCCCCCAACTGGGCATAACGGGGGGGCTGACTGTGCGGCGGGCGGCGACAGGTGCCCGTCTTCTGGAGTTGCCAACCTCGGTGGCTCCAGAAGTTGCGACAAGTTGGCAGAAGGCCTCAGTCGGGTGCTGGACGGGCTAGCGAGGGTAGTGCGGCCCACTAAGATGGCAGACCTAAGGGTTAGCGGACTGGACGACGCGGTCACTGCGGATATGTTGGCTGCGGCAGTCGCGCGCGTTGGTGGCTGCTCTGAGCAGTCAGTGAAAGTCAGCCAGGTCCGCGCTGGAAGGAGGGGGATGGGCTCGGCTGTTGTGAGGTGTCCAGTCTCAGCAGCCAAACGCGTGGTCGACGCACGCCGGCTTCTGGTTGGATGGTCATCGGCCACTGTCGAGGTACTTGAGCAGCGGCCCATGCGCTGCTACAGGTGTATGGGGATGGGCCATACCGTCCCCATGTGCACATCAAAGGTAGAGAGGGGGCGCCTCTGCTTCCGGTGCGGCAGCGATACGCATATTTCTGCTGGCTGCCGCCAAGAAGCTGCGTTGTGCGGTTTGTGCAGACGCTGGACGCCCCTCCGGGCACGTGATGGGTGGCCGAGATTAGCGGAAAGAGGCATTCAAAGGGCTGTTGTTAATGAACGCGCTCGATTGGTATCGCCCGAAGATGAAGAAGAAGTGCTTAGGTTAATAACTAGCGATCAAAGACTAAGCGTTCGACCCGAATAGAACCGTCATTTTGTACAAAAAATACTATGGACTGACAAAGCAAAATTCACAAGAGCTGGCATTATAAACCACAGAAATGATCTCTGGTGCTCGGTAAATCAACAATCGGTGCGACCAAATTCGTTTCAACACGAATTTTCTGTGAATGTATGTGCAGGCATAATCAACGGTCGTTTGATAGGGCCGTTAGAATTGCCTCCTACATTAAACGGTGCTAGATTTCTGGAGTTCCTAGAGACACAGTTTGCTGATAGCCTCATGGAGCTACCTTTGTCGTACCGTCAAGGTATGTGGGTCCAGCTTGATGGTGCACCTGCACACTTTTCTCGAGCAGTGAGAGTTTCACCCAACTCTTTTTTTTTAAATTATCGATCCTGATCTATTAGAGCCATAAACAAGTTACAATTTCACTTGCTGCATCTGGTTTGACGACGAGACGAAGTCTGTTACAATCATCAGTAATGACACATCTAATACAAAACAAGCAGTTTGGACCTTTTTAAAGAACATTATGGATTAAATTCAAGCTATACGCAGAAACTTAATCGCAACATTTTACACCTTTAGTGGCAATTGTGTTGCCCAATTTAAAAATAAATACATCCTGTCATCCTTGTACAATTATTGGCAAAGTTTGACCCCATCATGGCAGAACATGTCAGATTGGCAGCGAACGGTGACTTAGCTGACCATTATTGTGGAAAAAATATACAAAACGAATTAATAGAACCTATGGCATCAAAAGTTACATCTTCAATAGTATCTCGCATAAAGGATTCAAAGTATTGTGCAATCATAGCTTATTGTACTCCTGATATAAGTCACAAAAAGCAACTTTCAATCACATTAAGATGCGCCGACATAAAAGGGGATGCCGTAAGCATAAAAGAACATTTTATTTCATTTTTGCAAATACATGATACAACGGGTGCAGGTCTCACAGAAAATATTTTAAAAACTTTAAGTGATCACGGCCTTAACATTAATAACTGCAGATGACAGGGTTATGGTAATGGCGCAAATATGAAGGGGAAAAATAAAGGCGTTCAGAAAAGAATTACGAACATGAATTCGCTAGCTTTTTTTTGTTCCATGTGTGATGTGGATGCCATAGTTATAATATAGTACTATGCGATGCGGCAAAATCTTCTGTAAAATCTGTTACCCTGTTCGGAATTTTACAATAAAAGTTCAATTTATTCGCAGGATCGGTAAATAGATGGAAACTTTTGACCGATCATTTGAAAATATATACCATTAACCTTCCTATACTCGCGCGTTTGTCTGTCAGACCCACGAAACACACTTTCGTAATTATTTTTATGCACGAAGATCCTAAGAAGTCGAGTTCCTTGCTAGCTGCCGGATTTGTTCGTAGCTTCTTTTTAGTGCACGCCGCGCGTTCGTGCGAAGCGCACGTGTTGTAGCATTTGGCGCCAATCGGTCGGTGAGACCGACGCGAGTATAGGTGCAATTTTTTGTGTAAGTATTAATATAATTTATTTAGTGCATTTATATATTTTTTACAAACTTTGAAGACTTTATGACGTATGTATAGTAAAATATATGTATGTTTGTTGCTCTGTATTATATTTTGACCAAATTTTTTATTCTTTTTAGATTATAATTTATATCAAAATGGACGATGATCGAATCAGATTGCTGCGGGATGAATTGAGTTCTGGTTCTAGTTATGAAGACGAAAATGACAGTGAGGTGGAAGACTATGTGGAGGTACAAGAAGAGACATACGCCACCGAGCAAGAAGACGACAATGACGAAATATATGAGGTAGAAGGTAGTGAAAGTGTCCACGACTTTTACTTAGGAAAGGATGGACACACAAGGTGGAATAAAACTCCTGCCTTAAACCCAACTAGGCAACATGCTAGAAACATAGTTACTCAACTTTCAGGCGCTAGAGGAGAAGCCAGAAATTTGAAGGAACCAGGTGAGCTATAGAAGCTTTTTTTCTCGGAGGGCACGATAAATCTGATCGTAAAGTACACTAATGAACAAACTAATCGATTCAAATCTAACTTCACAAGAGAAAGAGACTGTACCGATACAGACAACTTTGAAATCGAAGCTTTTTTAGGCATTTTTCTGTTTGCTGGAGTCAGAAGAAACGGTCGTCTAAATGCCAAAGATTTTTTTAAAACAGACGGGTGGGTCATCCCCGAAGATATTTCGATTGACTATGAGCTTTAGCAGGTTCTATCTCTTGATGCGTGTCTCAAATTTGACAAGAAAGATACGCGAGAAGAGAGAATTAATCTGGATAAACTGGCACCTATAAGAGAGTTGTTCGATAAAGTTGTGGGAGCGTTCAAAAAATATTACAGCGTGTCTCAGTATGTTACAATTGACGAAAAGTTACGAGGCTTTTAGAGGACGTTGCAGCTTTCGACAGTACATTCCATCAAAACCCAAGAAATATGGATTAAAAATGTATGCGTTGACAGATGCCAAAATGTTTTATACCCATACCATGGAAGTTTACGTTGGAAGACAACCAGACGGTCCATATCAAGTTGACAACTCCGCTGTGGCTTTGGTTTTGCGATTGAGTGAAAATATTTACAATACTGGGCGTAATATCACATGTGATTACTTCTTCACTAGTATTCCATTGATAGATAAGCTTGAGTCACAACACAAATTGACAGTTATTGGGACGATTCGTAAAAACAAAAGGGAATTGCCTAAACAATTCACAGAAATAAGAGAAAGAGCTGAAAAGTCCAGTTTGTTCGGGCACCGAGGCAATTGCACTCTAGTATCCTATGTACCGAAAAAAGGCAAAAACGTCCTTCTTGTATCTAGCATGCACGATGATGCCCAGATCAATGAAGATACAGGTAAACCGGAAATGATAATAGACTACAATAGAACTAAAGGTGGAGTTGATACCGTGGACAAAATGTGTGAGACTTACAACGTTGCACGTGGTACAAATAGATGGCCAATGGTGGTATTTTATAATCTGATGAATGTATCGGGTATAAATACGTTTATAATATACCTACACAACAACCCTACCGAGAAAATTAGCCGTAGGATCTTTCTTAAAGCCTTAGCATACGATCTGATCAATCCGCAACTTAGACGTCGGGCTCTCACTACATCCTTGCCGAGAACCATAAGGCTCAGGCTCGCCGAAATATGTAAATTAGATGGACCTGAGTCTTCAGCAACATCTAACAATAATAAAATTGGCCGTTGTGGATACTGCTCATCCAAAAAAAAATCGCAAGACACGATACAACTGCGCCACCTGCAAAAAATACTTTTGTTTGTAACATGCTGTAACCGTATGCCCTGATTGTTATGGTGAGGGTAAAAACTAAGTCAAACAAAGATAAATATGTCCTTTGATATGTTGTTTACCATTTCCATATCATACGACACATCATCCTCACCACGTAATCATGGCCACTCGCAGCAAATTTATGTGCAGAACAGAAACCAAAGAGACCCACCGAAGACAAATCATTGTAGACATCCCTCGTTTAATCCAACTAGGGTTAAAAGAGGGGTTCACCTCCCCAACCACTGGCGATGATTTCATAAGCATGGTTTACTGGCTCTTGGACATAAGCAACGATGATAATGTAGAATACGTACAGCTAATAGAAGACACCAAAGCAGAGGCAATAACAAAGAAAGGCCAGCAGTGTACCGCATACGGTGCACTGATAACCATGATTGGTTTTGTGAAAGAAATTACAAATCAAAATGCAGATGCTGGGTTGAAGAGGTGGAAGGCAGGACTGGCCTCCCAATCCATACCGGACCTATTGGAGGACTCCCATAAGAAGACACTGTGGACCCACTTAGAAAGGGCCAAGACATTCACGTACTCAGATATGAGATGTAGGGAGAAAATATTAACAACCTACTTAGCGATGAAAGGGAATTTAACCTACCAAATGCCTGTTATAAAAGCTGTCTTTACACAACTGGAACTCTATATGATCTGGCCTACTTAAAATCGGTACAATGCATGTACGAGTTCATTCTATCTGGCAATCATGCTCTATCTCTCCCCAATGTAAGGAAGGATGCAAAGACTTTCAAGGAGGTTTTTGATAGAGTGAAAACCATAGAGGGGCTAAACTTCCCTCTATGCCGCCTGATAGACAACAACAAACACCCAGATCTAAATCACAGCAAATATCCAGAGCTATATGCTGTGACATTACAATGGGCTAGAAAGACCAAGAAAGTACAAAAGAATTATGTGGGAAGCAAGTCCATTGTAGAAAGGTCAATGGATCTAGACCTTGCTAGGAAACTAATAGGAATAAGAGGCATAAAGGGTCTTCCCTCTATAAGTGCAGAAGACAAAGAATGGATAGCATCTGTTGGATGCAACATAAATGAGGAAGAGGTTAACAAAGCCTTGAAGAAAATTACAAAGAGAGCTCCCGTGATATCTGACAGTGAAGAATCAGGGAGTGAGGAAGAAGAATCGGATGAAGAAGAGGGATCCAAGAAGAAGAGGAGGAGAAAGACCACTATGGATTACCTAATACTTGCCGACTACTTGATCACTCTAATTGAAACACCACTTGAGTATCGAACACTGTATTAAAGACCATTTTATAAAATTTACAACAGACATATGTATTTTAATGAAAACATCTTGCCAACGTGATTCAGAAATGAGGCAACCTACTAGTAGCGCCATCTCTTGGCAGGAATCGGAACTAAACCCGACAACTATTTAGAAGTTTATTTTGTTTTTAAAAAGAAGTACAGATTTTATTTTTGTTTTCCTAGTACTTAAGAAAAATATCTCAAATTCGAAGACTGATTTGTGATAGACTGAAAGTTAGTAAAATAATTAGTAAATTAAGTATTATTCATACTATTTTGTTTCATTAAATCCTAAACTTTGAAATATTAATAATATTTTTTTTGGTTCCATAGTAAAAAAATATGTTGTAGGCGTACGAAATATCGGTCTGTGACACCGTGCGCGAGTATAGGTTACAAAAATTGGCGCGAGTATAGAAAGGTTAAAAATTTAAGTGACACGCGCTGGGAAACTCGTATTGAAAGCATCAAAGCGGTTTGTTATCTGTTGTGTGACATGCATGATGCAACGTCGCACGAAGAGAACACATTGGCAGGACAAATATTTTAGTTTTATTGTTTCTATTATAGTATGTTAAGATGTTCTTTTTCAAATTAATGTTGCGAGCCAAACCTAAAATCAACTTTGTCGAGTTTACTGAAATGCTTGACAAATGTTGCTCTTATTTGAAAACATATAGACAAATAGGTTTCGAACAAGCTTTTGTAGCAGCAACTGAATTAGCATCCAAACTTGATACGCAGCCATTTTTCAAACTACAAACGCGACTAAGACGCATCAAACGTAGACCGGGTGAAGAGGCTACTGATGAACCAAGAAGTGATCCAAAAAAAAGTTCGAATCCGAGTTTTTTAATACTTTTTTAGACACCGTGCTTATATCTATGGAGGAAAGATTTCAACAGATGCAAAACTTTTCTATCACATGGAATTTCTTGTTTAACATAAAAAATAATCAAAATAAAGAAGAACTAATGAGACATTGTTCTTTACTGCAAGAAAAGTTAACGATCGATTTTAAATCTGATATTGATTGGAGACTTGTTGTGCCATTAAATTCTAGGTTTGCAACACTATCTTAAAGACAAGCAACTCCTATCGAAACATTAAACTTTATCAAAAAACAAAATCTTCAAGAGTTATATCCCAACAATTGGATATCGCTGCATATTCTGTTAACAATACCAGTGACTGTTGCAAGTGGCGAACAAAGTTTTTCTAAACTAACATTGATAAAAACTTATTTGCGGTCTACAGTGTCCCAAACAAAATTGACAAGTTTGGCTTCAAGTTTGGTTTAAAATCATGTTGCAGAAAATCTAGATTTTGACAATCTTATCACAGAATTTGCTGATAAAAAAGCTAGAAAAATGAGAATCTATTTTTTTTTAAATTAATGGTTAAATATGTTATTATTAATAATCATAAATACATCTGATGTTTGTAGTTTTCTATTAATTCAATAAAAGATATGGTACAAATTCAAAAGAAGTTTTTGTTAATTATAATGAAATAAGTACATCTAAAAGGGCCCCAAAGGCATGACTCGTCCGGGGCACCTAGATGTCTAGGGCTGGCCCTGACTAACCCTATTTCTTGCTAAAACAACATATGTCAAGAACAGTTTTTCAGGGTTTTTTTCATAATTTTTATTAATAAAACTATAAAGGTTATTTCCCTATTTAAATTTTTTACCACTCATATACTAAATTAATTTATAACTCATTTGTTTGCGCATGAAATAATTATTGATTCCTGAAAACTTTTAATTGAACGACTTATTAAGTTTTTGAAATGGCCGATTCAATTTTAAATGTAATAGAGCATTAACTCAACCTGTTACTTACCTAAGATGTTATTCAATAAGTTTTGTAACTACCAATGAGGTACAAAAAAAAAACAATTCATTTTTTCTAATTAACCAACAAGTCACATTGTGCCTTTGATACTAGTTTACTCAAATCAACATATGGCACAGAGACATGGCTGCTCACAATGGGCCTGATAAGAAAGCTCAAGGCCACACAGAGAGCAATGGAAAGGGCTATGCTCAGGGTTTCCCCGAGAGATCAAATCAGAAATGAGGAGATATGCAGAAAGACCAAGTTGACTCAAATATTAAACAAATTCATTAGATTTGAAATTAGAGTTATAACCCATGTAACAATGCCTCCACATACATTCAACAATTTTAGTTGCTTCACTATTATAACTTATATTTTTCAATTTATCATTATAGTCTATGTGTTATTGGGTATTCAAATTCTACACAATGATTCTAGCCTTACCATCTAGATTGGCTATGGAAGATATATAACAAATATGCAATTCACATAAAAAGAAACAGGTACTCAATAAATTAAACTGAATATACAATACGAGTGACAATCCATGTAACAACCTTCACCAAAAGCAGGAAGAAATTTAGGTTATTTCACAATTTCCTTGGTTGACATTTTTAACACATGTAGTCTGACCAAACAACTATTGTTCATATTTATTATTAAGCATTCTATATATGACTCGTGAATACCCAGTAAGTACTAACACAATAGTATAAGAAGCATACTGCATATAAAAATTAATACAATAAAGAAACAAAATAATAATTGTTTTAAAACTTTAGCTCAATACACGTACAACTACAAAATGGACGATACGAACGACGACGATTAGGTACCTAGTGTTATTTCCTTCTTAATTATATAAAATGTCTGATCGATAAAAACATCGGGTGGGCTTTTCGACACTATTGTCTATTATTAATATTAAACAACCTAAGAAATTACTAAGTGGAGTGTAAAATACTAAACACCTGCACAGAAATTTCGAGAAAGAACCTGTTTCCAAAGTAATGAAGTCAACGAAAATAAACTTGAATATCTTTCACCCATTTTCAGCTGTAGATTATAAAACAATATATCCTATACAAAATGCGATATTTAGAATAAATATTCGTTTATATTTTCAATATAAGAATTAATTACAACATTATTGAAGACTGACAAAATTTAAACGGAAGTCGTGTTCTCACAAGTCACAGATTAAATATATTTTTTATAGTTGCTCTTCTGTATTTTCTGCTTTAAAGATCACAGATAACATAATTATATATTTCTGTCTATGGATACTGGATAGTGGGATATTGAAAGCCCTCATGTCGGCAACGCATCTTTAATTTTAATTAAACCTATTTTAAATTATATAACGATATTATTTCAAATATATTTCATTTATTTAAGCATTATTTTTTATTACTATTCATTTAAAAAAAAAAATCTTGAACGTCACCTGTAAATGTAATAGTTTTGCTATTAGATACAAGATGGTACTGACGTATTATATAGACTGAAGCTGCTATAACGGTTAATAGATGGCGCTAGTAATGAACCTAAGCATGGAGTCTCATAACCTCATCACGACAACAAAAAATTAGTTCGAATAAATGTCAATAGATATCGTTACATGAATCGATTTGTCATTAAGAATGTGTTAAATTAACAAAAGATAAATACTTTCTTAGATTCTCGCGTATATTTGATATTTTAAATAAAACTATCTTTTCGGGTTTTTTCGCGGATTTATTTTGATTTTTAGTTCCCGACGTTTCGAATGTTTTACAGCAAAACATTAAATTAAATAATAAATCTAAACATGACGGACAGTTATATGTAATGTAATGTAAATCTATATATCTACACATATAATAAAATTGTAACTAGGCCGAATCTGTATTTTTTGGAAAATCTTTTTGAAATAGTCATTATTATTTTAAATTTTTTGTCTGTCTGTCTATCTGTTACCGCATCACAAGAAAACTACTGGACAGATTTTGATGAAATTTGGTATGATGCTAGCTGGTTATCCGGGTCAACGTAAAACCTAAGAATTTGGTTTTTTGATCGCGGGCGGAGCCGCGGGCAATGCTAGTAATGTATATAATGTAATGTAAATAATAATGAAAATATAACAGTCTTTCAAATTAATATTTTTCATTTGTAAATGTTAGTAGTAACAGTGTCGCTTATAATTTTGGTTCATTTCTAAATAATTGCAAATTATTATTCTTAGTGAATTTTAATTTTAACTTTTTTGCTTTGAATAATTAATAATATTTTATTTTCTTTATGTTTATAAATATAATAATGGACTAAACTTTATTATGCAATGTTTCTTTCAAGGGGAAGAGCAAGAGAACTAAGCTTAAATATCCAAAAGAATATAGGTTTTTTTTTATAATTTATATTTTCTTCTCAAAAATTGCAAATTAAAGATTAAATTTAATACCCATACAAAAATTACCTTATTTTTTGATAAAAGTAAACGACATGTAAGCAAAATCGAGAATAGTAGTAACAGAAAATACACAACTATTTTTGACTTTCGACACGTTTTTGGCGGGTTCCGTCTGATATAATTTGACGACACGTTTGGCTCAGTTTGTAGTGACCCTGCTTGCTGTGCCAGCGGTCGCGGGTTCGTGTCTGTGGATTCATTTATATGATGAGCACGAACATGACTGGAGTAACTATCTGGTACCGATCGTGCATGTCTACGTACCTACTGTTGTCGATAAAGTTATGTTTGAGTCAGGTTACGAGTGTTACGAATTACTTTACAATATATTATGTGTTAACTTATAAAGAAATTGCACTGCGCGTCCGGTCAGCTCGTATTCATACAACACGCTAGAGCAGCAAACGACCTGTGAGCTCCACGCTCACCATTTTAGGTCTTGTGTATTATAATTCAGAATTTGATTTGAAACCAAAATATATAATATATATTTCAGAAAAGACGCTGCCAATGTAAGTTGAGACATATATATGGATGAACATATTAAACAGCGTTTAGCTTAAACTGGGCGCGCTTCTGTCGAACGCCGGCGCACCCTGGTAATCGCTAAAACTCGGCTAATTTTTTTTTTTAAATAATCAGGGTTCGGTGCAAAAAAAATTAAATCCATGAAATTGCGAACAAAATCCGCGTAAATCGTTTGTCTACCTATATGGAAATACGTCAAAAGCTGGGTACGCCCATGTAGATGGTGCTGTGTGTTAATATCCCAACATATTTATTTATGTACAATTCTTTAGTGAGTGAAAAGATTTATAAAATGGTACTTTCCGAGTTTATCGCCTGCAAAGAATCAAATTTTTCTTCTTTATAATATTTGTATCGATTGGACATTTAAAATGTTACAAAAGTAGCATTTATTATAATGAATACAACAAACAAACTTTCTTTTCACTTTATATATACGTACGATAATTGCTAAACACTTAGAATGTGAAAAGGTCAAAAGTCACAATCACAACCGTGCATTACCAGTTAAAGTTAAGTTGTCTACAGGATAACACACAAATATTGCAAATTTCATTCCAACGTTATAATTTAATTAGATAGGTACAAAAAGTAAATAAAAAATACGTTTTGTAACTGTCAAATTTGCGCGGGAAATCGTTTTAGGAAGTTGCATAGATAAAATTTTGTTTCTTTTTTATTTGTTTCGAAAAAGGTTTTTTTATTGTAATTAACCAATGGTAAAATTTGTGTAGGTACTTTATATAGTTAAGAATAATTTTTTTCTACCATGCGTAACGTCTACGGAATTGTTGTGGTAAGTATATATAAATACTTATTATTTTTTAATTAACTAGGTATATATTAATTTCATAAATTACATACGTATATAGAGAAAATATTACTTATATTTTGTGCCTTTGTGGTGCACCAGTTAAAATGTACACTCATATAACTTTGAAATTAACTTAAAAAAATCGTTTCGAATTATTATACGGATACTTGTTATAAACCAGTAAAAACTAATAATCTCTTTAAAAGTGTGTAAAATTTAATAAAACCACAGCCTAAATATTATGGAGAGATTTGAAGTTCGATTACTGATTCTTCGGCTAAGATCTTGTAGCATTTTTTACTTTTGAATACTTTATTATAATACTATATAATTATTAATTTATAATATTTAATGCAGAGAGTGCCACTTTTTGGCATTTTTTACATACAATGACCCATGTCAGTCACACCCTACGTCAGTCCATCTGTACCTACCTATAATTTTAATTCAAAGTTTCAGCGTCAAGGAGTAAATACAAACACATATGTACATAAAAGCTTGGTTTTTTTTAAAAGTAACGACTCACCCTCGCTTCGCTCGGGTTCGTCCCTAGGTTGATTCCCCATACAAACTTTCATCCCCATTTTCACCCCCTTAAAGGATGATTTCCGGGATAAAAAATATCCTATGTCCTTCCCAGGGTCTCAAACTATCTTCTAACAAAATTTCATCTAAATCGGTTCAATAGATCCAGAGATTACCCCCTACAACGTCACAAACTCACAAACACATCAACTTACCTCTTTATAATATTAGTGTAGATTACTCATCTTTCCCTTTCGAGAGTTACCATAGTATATTTATTATCGTAAAATCCTTTAGCAATTTATTTTATAATGAATATTCTATTAAAATTAATAATCTGTTTTATTTATAGCATTATGTAGGTATTATTAGGTACTTACACTCGCTTCGCTCAGTTTAGTTCCTAGTGAAACAGAAGAACAAATCTATCCCACGGGAACCGAACATTTTTCCGGGATAAAAAGTAATCTATGTGCTCATTTCATCCAGATCCGTTCAGCCGTTCTGGCGTGATTAAGTATCAACATCCATCCACCCTCAAAAACTTTCATAACTATACATATAAGAAAAATCTGTGCATACATTTTTTTTTTGGAAAATCTTATTGAAAAAGTCATTATTATCGATACACAGGCCGAATCTATAATTTTTAGAATTTTTGTCTGTCTGTAACCATCACAGAAAAACCACTGAAGGAATGAAATTTGGTTGAGATGATGATAGCTGGTTATCTGGGGCAACATATAGGATACATTTTACTGCGGGAAAATATCTCATCTCTGAGAAATCTATACTAAACGTTAAAACGTAATTAGGGACGAAACCGAGCGGAGCGAGGGTGAGTCACTAGTTTATATTATTTATGGGATTTTAAAACAATATTGTTTATTTTCATGTTTAGTTCTAAAATACTGTCTATATTGAAGTGCCAAATGAAGTGTGGGACCTCTTGTGTCAATATAAAAAAAAAACTTAAGGACCACTTGTAATTGATAACAATTGACACTCCAAGTTTACCTTGCCCTTTCAAGTTATGCCACACGTTACTTATCCAATTAGATATGAAGAACATTACTCAACGTGTTCCATCTAAACCCAATAATACAAAATAAATTTTAGCTAAAAAGATAGAAAGAGAAGAAGACGCCTGAACCGATTTGGAAAAAAATTTTTTTTTGTTTCAAAGGGTATACTTCCCAGGTGGTCCAATATAAATTTTATCGAAATCGGTCGAGCGATTTTTTAAAAACTCCACAATAACTATATTTTTTAAATAAATTGTTTAATCGAGTATGTTATGAAAAAACTTTCTTACAAATTACCTGCTTATTACGTCTACACTAAAAATGTAAAAATAAAAACTTAAAAAAATCCGACTTTCAGGCACTAAACTGTAAACAATAACTAACGGGGGTTTTCATTTAGAATAGATACCTAATCAGATATTTTCGAAGGCGGTGCCAGCCTACAATATTTAAAGATATGAATATCTAATAGAAAAATATGTATTTTACGTATCGAAATATATATATTCGATTTGCTTTGCATTGGCTGGCTAAACAATTCAAGCTTAGGGACATATCTTAGCGAAGGCAGTTAGTATTTTATAATTTATAAGTTATACTTCTTTTGGGAGGCTTAGCAAAAAATATGAGAGTAAAATTTTTACGATGCGCGCGCACGCCGACAGCCAAAAAGCGACATGATGAAGTTAGCTGCATTCCTTTTATAAACAGAGAGTTGTGACATACGGGATGGAATCTTTAGCTATATTTTTTCTGTTACGCCAAAGAAGTATAACTTTTTACGTGCGTACATCAGCACACACACACGTTTTTTTTTAATTATTATTGTGATTGTAAAGATCTTTTTTAAAGCTGATTTGAAATTCTTTTGAGTGTTGCCGCTATACCAACAGTCGGAATTATTCATGCCCACTAGTGTTCACTATGTCCATATCCATATCCATACTAATATTGTAAATGTGTGTTTGTTTGTTTGTCTGTCCTTCTTTCACGTCGAAACGGAGTGACGCATTGGCGTGATTTTTTGTGTGGAGATAGTTGGAGGGCTGGAGAGTGACATAGGCTACTTTTTACCGCGGGAGATTATCTCATTCCCACGGGAAAACACGTTATAATACAATCCAAAAAAATATTTATGATCATAATTACTTGAAACTTAGCATTAATGCTCTTCAATAAAATTAAATAAATATGTGTCTTAGCATTTTTCGAAATTTATCCTGTAAGAAGGTAAAATAGGGGATGAAAGTTTATTTGAAACCTACCTTTTTAGAGATTTTTTGTAGTTTTAGCGCGAGCGAAGCCGCGGGTTCTTCTAGTTATAGATAAATAAAACTTGACATGTCATCTGTCATTTCGAAGTGTCACTTACGTAAATGAATTATGAATATATTCTATGATTTTTTGATTTTATAACTTTAGAATTTTGAAACATTTGATTAATTTTGTTTTAAATCTATATATATAAAAGAAAGTCGTGTTAGTTACTTCGCTTATAACTCAAGAACGGCTGAACCGATTTAGCTGAAAATTGGCAGGGAGGTAGTTTAGAGCCAGGAGAAGGACATAGGATACTTTTTATCCCGTTCGACCGCGTTCCAATTTTTATGATATTTTAATTTTTGGATTTCTCTTAGTCCGGAATAGGTAAGTATTAAAACATATAATTAAAATGTGAGAAAGAAAGATTTTTTCTTTTTATATCTATTTAAAACGTACCTAGCGACGAACCCGAGCGAAGCGAGGGTGAGCCGCTAGTTATCTATAAATAAATAGGCAAAGGCTAAACAGTTCAGTACCTTTTTTTCCTCTGTTTGTCAAATGATTTTCCTTTTTTTTTAGTAGCTATTGTTGAGCTTTAGTTACTGAGTTTGTCAAGAAAAAAAAATCTTAGAATTACACGAATATATTAAATTAAAAAAAATCTAACTAAACTATTTGGATCTAACTATTGAATTTTTTCGCGTATTTATTTCGATTTTTGGTTCCCAACGTTTCGAATGCTTTACAGCGGAAATGGTCAGGGAAGAGGGCTTAGGTTTTAGACTTCTCAAAATAAATCCGCGAAAAAATCCGAAAAGATAGCTTTATTTATAATATTATTTTTTGATATAATAATCCTAATAATAATTTCGCCCTTTTAGTGCGGATGCCAACAGGAACGTAAAGAATTTGAGATAATTTTTATGGACTTATCGAGTTTTCACAATAAACTATCTGTTGTAATTTAATTAATTGTTGATATCTTAAAAAACACTCGACCGATTTCGATAAAATTGTAATAGAACCACCTGGGAAGGATACAAAAACAAAAAAAATCTTTTTATTCCCTTCGAAACAAAAAATATATATTTCCAAATCGGTTCAGGCGTCCCGAGTAATCGATGAACATACATACCTACATAAAAAAAAATCGGACGAATAATTATATCTTTATCATACGATTAACGAGCAAACAAACAGAAACAGAGCTTTAAATATTCATCAAAGCGTGAGAAACACCAACAAATAACAAAATACAAAGTAGGTAATCACCGACCTACCAACGGTGGTGGACGTTGGGAGGACTCTGACCGCTTTCCATCAGGTGGGCTGTCTGCTAGTTTATTACTGAGCACCATAAACAAAATAGCGAGAAAAATCCGTAGTTTATTAATATTATAAATGTGAAAGTTTGTATGGATGTTTGTTTGTTACTCAATCACGCCAGAACGGCTGAACGGATCTGGATGAAATTTGACACAGAGATAGATTATAGTCTGGAATATCATGTAGGCTTTTAATCCCGAAAAAATGTACGGTTCCCGTGGGATAGGTTTGTTTTTGTTTAACTAGAGGCGAACCCGAGCGAAGCGAGAGTGAACCGCTAGTCGATAATAATAGTGTTGTATAAAACTTCTTTATGGCATAAGTCGCATGAGAAAGTTAGTTTTTTAAAAATTATCAATTACGTCAATGTCGCGCCCAATCTAGTGTCAAAGGTCAAAATGTTTTTCGAATAGATTATGACTTAAAAGATTTATAAACACATTTCGAAATTTACTAACAGCGATAATCTGTTCTTTGTGTAGGCTTTATAAAGTGATTTTAGATACATAATGGCGACTGTATAGTGATGTGACATGACAGTGACGAATTACTTAAAGCGTTACATCTCATCATCGACACTAACCCTATGTGCAGGCACTTTGTAATTTTCAATCATTAATACTTTCTTAGATTTACGCGAATATTTGACATCTATATCAAAACTTATTATATTAATATAATAAATGCGAAAAGTGTACGGTTCCCGTGGGATAGATATGTTGTCGCTAGTAAATAATATTTTTATATACAACTAGCATTGCCCGCGACTCCGCCCGCGTTCCGATGACCAAAAACCAAATTCTTAGGTTTTACATATTAGTATACTCTTACATTGCAGTTTTG